CAGCCTCCTGAGGCTCGACATGTTGCCGAGATTGAGGCCCACCCTAGCCTCCAGGTACACGTTGGCGAGCAGGAAGCCCCCGTCGCACACGCCCGACTTCCAGTGCACGTGCACTCTGCCATCGACGACCGCCGCGTCCTGGTGATCCTGGACCTCCGCCATCCTATGGCACCGCCTCACCATGGTGATGCGCCCTCCTGTGCCGAGCCCGCCTGACTCAGCTCTCACCGCTGGCGAGCTTCTCGCCCGCCATCCTTGACTGCGGAGCTGAGCTTCCGCATCCCCGCACCTGCCCTCCAGCAACCTGGTCTCTTGCACCAGGATGGCGTCGCTGCCCTGCACGTCCTTCACCATCAAGCATTTGCCCAGGCTGCTGAACGCATTGGCATTGATGGTGCAGATGCGCCGGACGCCCAGCCCATTGCTAGGATCCTGCGCCCATCTCGTCGTCGCCCGTGCGCGTCTTCTTGGCCTCATTGATGAGGGTCTCCCCCGCCTTCCTCTTCTCGGGGTCCTCGAACTGCTCCTCCAGCTCCTGCCACACCTGCTGCGCCTCAGGGGAAGCCTGTGGGCGCTGAGACTCAGCGCCAGCAGGCTGCCTTGCCGCTGCCCCAGCCTCAGCGGTAGCACCTGCCCCAGCCGCCGCAGGCAGCGGCAGCGCTGCGCCAGGCACACCAGGCCCACTCCCTGCGATCTTGCTCTTCCACTCGAACAGCCGATCGACCGCCTCCGACAGCTTGACGAACTCGTCACTGAGCACTGGGCTCGCCGCGACGCCGCTGGACTTAGCCCAGCCCTCGAGCGCCGCCTTGACCACGTGCAGCGACACAGGGGCCGCGGTCGCAGCAGCAGCCCCCTCAGCAGCTCCTTCAGCCTCCGCCATCCTGGCACATTGGGTGGCCAGCGCCTCGCGCGCCTTGGCGGCTGTCTCAGCCTGCCCCCGCCGCAGCTGCACCAGCTTCTCGGCGAGGACCACCGACTCGTTGATGGCCGCCCGCGCCTTCGCCTTGGCCTGCTCCAGCGTGTGCTCCGCCCGCTTGACGTTCTGCGCCTTCTCATCAGCCTGGAGCTGGGCCGCCTTGACGGCCTTGTCCTTGGACAGGTCGTCGCCCAACCCCTCCTGCACCAAGCGCCTGGCCTGCTGCAGCTCGTTCCTGACCTTCGCACCAAGGAACTTGGCCGCGATGGCGAACTGCCCGTCCGACATGCTGAACAGCTCGCGCCGCTCGTCGTCGCTGAGCACCACACCCGCAGCACGCTGACCACCATCTCCGCCTCCGCCTTCGTCGCCACGCCACCATGGCGCACGGGTCGGAGGCGCGCCTGCTGCGGCACGCCCACCACGCCCACCGCCACCAGCGCCAGGAGCACCGCCACGACCCGCAGCAGCTTGCGGAACGAAGCTGCCCAGCACCCTCTGCGACGGCTTGCCACCCTGGCACCCGTGGCGGCAGCACCAGCGCTCGGCGAAGTTGTAGTAGCCGCAGCTCTGGCAGACCCATCCCGCGGGCCCATCTGGGCGACCTCCTCCACGCCCCTGTCCCACGCAGCCGCGCCCCATCGCGCGCGCGCGACTGGAGGAGTGGCGCCCGACTGCCAGAGCACAAAGGCTCTTGCCTGCCGCGGACTAGCGGTATCCGTGCGATCCCCGCGGGAACCTGGCATCTTGAGCCAAAATGGCTACGGAGGAGGAGGCGGAGGAGGAGGAAGAGGAGGAGGAGGAGGAGGAGAAAGAGGAGGAGAAGGAGGAGGAAGAGGGGGAGGAAGGATTTGAAGCAGGACGGATGAGGAGAAGGATGACGACGACGAGCAGGAGGAGGACAGGGAATGACGCCCGTCCTGGAGCCTCTTGGTGTCGCCTTGGCTCTCCTAGAGCGTGCTGGGGGTCCTGTGGCCTGTTTGGGTTCTTCGGGGCCTCTTGGGGCCTCTTGGAGCCTCCTGGGCCCTCTGGAGCTCCCTGAATGTAATTAAAAGTGGGTCCTCCGGGGGGCTCTTGAGATCTCGTGGGCTCTTCCGGGGCCGCCATGGGCCCTCCTGGAGCCCCTGTGGGCCCTCTGAGAACTCTCTCGCGGGGGCGGAATGATGAAAACAATTTCAATCATGGGGGCCTTTCCGTTGAGAAGGGGGGCGCGGTGCAGAGTGGGTCCTCTTGGGGCCCTCCGGAGACCTCCGAGGCACTCCCGAAGCCGCCATGGGCCCTCCTGGAGCCTCTGGGGGCCTCCAAGAAGCCTCTCGCGGGGGCTGAAAAATGACGACAGTTTCACGGATGGGAGCCTTTCCGTTGAGAAGGGGGGCGCGGTGAAAGGTAATAAAGTGACGACAGTGTCGCATTTGAGGCCCCAAATCGTCCTTGGGCACCTCGGGCGCGAATCCCGCTCCCGCATAGTACGGTGCGATTTCCCTTCCCTCCGCTGTCCCGCCGGACCCCGGGAGGAAGATTTTTGTAGTTTTCGCTTGTAAGAAACACTTCCCCCCCCTCTCGACGGTGACGGAGGGCAGGCGGCGGGGGTGGGTGGGTTGGCGGGGTGGCGGGTTGGCTGGGGTTGCGGGGTGGCTGGTTGGTTGAGCTGGCTGGTTGGGCTGGCTAGGGCAATTGGTTTCGATTCCCCATATTTTCCCATATTTTCTGTGCTTTTGTCTCCCCCCCCACTTCCCATATTTTCCCATATTTTCTTGGGAATCGACGATTCATTGTGTCTGTGTTTTTTCCCCTCCTGATTGACTGCATCCTCTCGAGGGCCTCGCGCCGCCTCGCTTTGGAGGAAGGGCAGCCGCCGCGGCCCGCGAAACGCGCGGCGCGCGGCGCGCGCGCGCGCGTCTTCTTCGCGCCCCGCCGCGGGTGACCGAGGCGCCGCGTCTGGCGCTCCGGGGAGGAGCGGGAGATTGCGCTTCTGAAGGGGCCCCAGGACACACAAATAAATACACACAAACAAAAATCTTCCCCATATGTTCGCATATTTTCTGGGTTTGTGTCTTCCCCCACACTTCCCATATTTTCCCATATTTTCCTGGGGATCGTCAATTAATTGTGTCTGTGCGTTGTTTCCCTCTTGAGCTTCATCAAGCAGGTCTGTGCCAGCTGCTGACGGCGAGAAGTACGAGCCCCAGCTCGGGACCAGACAGAATTCTCTGGGCTCGCATCGTCCCGTACACAGCGCTGGACATTCTCCAAGGTGCAGCCTCTTGCTGCAATCTGGCCAAGCCAGCACATTTAATACGAAGGCGTCCAGGAGAAGAGGGAAGAGAGGAACGGGGGGGCTCCTCCTCCTCCTCCTCCTCCACCTCCTCCTCCTCCTTCCCCTCCTTCCCTCCTCCTCCTCCTCCTCCTCCATCCCGAAGAGAGGCCCAGAAATCCTCCGACCTGTTTTTTTTCGATCGGCGGCACCCGGGGTCTCGCCGTTGGACCCTGGGCCCATGCTTCGCGGCCCGACACGGGCCCCGAAAGCGGGCCCCGTGCGGCGGAAAGCTGCATTTCGAGAGCTCAGGGAACGACACGCAAGCACACACACACACACACACACACACACACACACACACACACACACACACACACACACACACACACACACACACACACGCGCACGCACGCACGCACGCACGCACGCACGCACGCACGCACGCACGCACGCACGCACGCACGCACGCGCACGCACGCACGCACGCACGCACACACACACACACACACACACACACACACACACACACACACACACACACACACACACACACACACACACACACACACACACACACACACGTAAACGTCGGGGGCGCGCAAACATGGATTAGCGATCCATGGATTTGGCGCGCGGTCGCCTGATCCATGGGTCGGGGGAGGTGCCCTCCCCACTATGCGGCTGGTGCCGCCTCGTTCGGCGGCGGCACTCCAGGATTTCCTGTGGAAACGGGGCCCGTCGCTAATCCACGCCCCCGTTGATCCATGTCTGCGATCGCCTGAAAACACCTCGTCGAAAATCTCGGGGACCATTTCAGGGGGGGAACCTCGACTTGGAATCGGCGACACACCGCCGCTAGAGCGGCCACAGGCCACCGAGAGCGAATCCACACGATCCTCAGGAAGGTGGGACTGTCGGACCCATATTCGGCGATGGGTGTAGGGAGCCGAACTCTAGCCCGACGCTTTATCTTTGCACAGGAAAGCGGATCCTGGTGTATACGGGATCCTGGTGTATACGGGATCCTGATGTATACATTTTTTGTCGTTTCCCCGGGAAAAAAAGGAAACAAGTACACACCACACCACCCCGGCGTCGTCCCCGACCCTCAAACAATCATGGGATTGAAAAACAGCCCGCCACTGATTATGTACACATCATGCTCCAGTTTCCGATATTCGGCGATGGATGAGCGATTGGGGGTCGATACGCCGCGAAACTCCCCCCCCTAACGTTGCCCCCTTGGCTTTCGGGTCACAAATCGGCTCTCCGGAGGCGCTTCGGGACGATCCAGGCACCCCCCAAAATGCCCTCTTCGAGGCGCAGCCGCTGAAGAGCACCCCGAGAGTGGCAAACCGCCGAAAACGCCTGGAAACCTCGAACCTCGACTCCGAGAAAGTCGGGCCACCTCTGGTCAGAATCGGTCCTGGCAGCGGGAGAAAGGGAGAGGGCAAGCTAGGTGCGCTCGCGCCTTATCTAACGTCCCATCTCTACCCCTCATCCCTTCCCATGGCGCCCGGTTTTTCCCCCATCCGCGGACGCGTGTCACAGCCGACCTGCGACTCCCACAAAAAGGCCACTTCGTGCGATGCGCCACCAGAAAAGTGGGAGCTGCGTGTGCACTGGCGACTGGAGGAAGATCGGGGGCGCGCAGACATGGATTTCCGCGCCTCCCCTCTGAAACGGGACCCGTCGCTGATCCGCGCTCCCCCTGATTCCTGTTTGCGATCGCCTGAGAAGAGGAGGTGGCGGGTGAGCAGGACGAGGGGCGGGAGGACGAGGCCGAGGGAGAGGGAACGCCGCCGTGGACCCTCCCCCCTGGGCGGGTCCCGAGGAGGTGCTGGCGGCCGCCCTACTGCCTGATGGACTGCCGCACGGACCCGCCGGCCTCGCGCAGGAGAGAGGCAGCGGACCCCCAAGGCATGGCGGGCAACTCCTCGACGACGACGGCTACGACGACGACGACGACGACGACAACATCGACGCCGATTCCGACGCCGACGACGACGAAGACGACAACGACGACGAGATCGTGACGACTGGATTGCGACGACTGGACCGCGACGCGGCGCGGGGGCGCAGGCCAGACGGCACTGGGCGCCGCGGCGGCGGTGATGACGCAGCAACGGTGGCAAAGGGCCTACAGTTCCTTTCGCAGCGGGGGCTTCGAGTAGTAGCGCAACAAGGTATGATGCGCCTACTTTCCTCCACCACCACCATGGGTGGCACGAGGGAGAGGGGAGGATAGGGGAGGTCCCCCTTCTTCCCCGCCTTCTCCCCCTCCTCCTTCTCCTCCTCCCCCCGATCCTACCTGCAGTAGTGGTGGTGGAAAATCGGCCCATCAAGGTAAGCAAAAGGCTGTCCACGCCGGCCCCACAACACGAAAGCTGGTCGAATCGACAGCGGCAGCTGGGCCGACCGAAACCGACGGGCCGCAAGCAACCCATGCGTGGAAGGGCGCTGCGACATAGCAGCGGCACAGCAGCCGACCGGACCGGGCCGACGGCGACGCATCCGAGCCGACCAGACCGCGGCCACCCTGGCATACAGCGGAGGCCAGTCCACAAGAAGCCTTCCACAAGAAACCCAACCCTAAGAGCGCAGGACGTCCACTGGTCTTTGGTGGGGGCGCGTCGCGGCCTTCCATCGCAAAACCGGCGAAACCCAAGGACACCTGCAGGCACCCTGGAGGCGAGCAGGGTGTCTCTTGGCATGGGCCTCCACTGTATCCGCGGCCTCGCGGCCCGCGTCTCCTCGGGACGCGGCCCTCATGGGTTGAGGACGGCAGGACGGCTTTAGGCGGACGTGCCGCGCGGGGAACGCCTCCACGGCATCGGGAATCCACCCACTGGGTCGCGACGTGGGGTCCACGCCGCGAGCAAGGAGGCGGGTCCTGGCCCCCGGGGTTTCCCCAGGACCTCCACCGGCAGAGACTTCCTTCCTTGGCCATCAAGGAGACTGCTCACGTTTGCTCCCACCCTGAGAGAACAGTGAAGCAGTGCAGAAGTATGGTAGACACACCTTGCATATCGTTATCTCTACACCTGTAAAGCCACTCTTCGAGTGATATCGAGATGTTCGGGGGAGAGAACCAACGTCTCACTCAGTCGATCTGACTATCGATCTCACTATCGGTCTGACGATCGATATGACGATCGATCCCACTAACTATTTATCTTAGTGAAGGTCTCACTATCGATCTCACAATCGATATCAGTATCGATCTCGCCATCGATCTTACTATCGATCTCGCTATCGATCTCATCATCGCTCTCGCTATCGATCTCTCCATTGGTCTCACGATCGATCTCACTATGGGCCTCACGATCGATCTCACTATCGGCCTCACCACGGGGGGGGACACTGACAGGACACCAGGACACCGACGGGACACCGACGGAATACCAACGGGACACCGACGGGACACCGACGGGACAACGACAGGACAACGACGGGACAGCCACGGAACACCAACGGAACACCGTCGGGACACCGACGGGGCACCACGGCGGGCCAATCCAGCCACCGCCCGCCCACCGCGGGGGAGAGGCGGACACCGATGGGGCACCGAGGGGACAACCCGGCCACCGCCCGCTCACAGGGGAGGGAGGAGGGGTGGTCAACGGCACTTGATCCACCCTAGCCACAGGAGAGTCGTTCCTCTCGCCCGCACACACAGGTTCGCGTCGCCCGCACGCACGACACGAACCGGAAACTGAAACCGATTTCCCGGAGGGGGGCTCTCCGTCCCACTTCGATCTCACAGCCAGACCTCCGATACCTTTACATGTATGCATGTATATGGATATGCTTATGTTTATATGTATATGCCTGTATATGCATGTGACAATGCATATGTACACTAGTATTTGTACATGCATATGTATATGTACAGGTAGAAGTGTGTCTATCCTTATATATGTATAGATTTGCATGTATACAGACTGGTTTATATACATATTCACACACATATCTATGTATGTAGACGGGTCATGACGTATCCCCCACCCCTGCTAAATCGCATGCCGGCTTTTCTCGGGTTCCTTCGCTTCCAGGTTAGCTCCAGACTGGATGAGCCTTGCAATCTGTCTGCCTTCAAAGTGCTCCAAAAAAGACAATTATCGTTCCAACTCCGTCTCGCTCCACCTTTCAACCCTCATCTTCAACCTTCCCGTTGAACCCTCCTTCTCCTCCTCCTCCTCATCCTCCTCCTCATCATCATAGGCCCTTGTCCTCAACCTTCTCCCCCCTCCTCCACCTTCTCGAACCCCCCTTCTCGACCTCTCCCGACCTCCGCACACCGCAAGTTGGCAAAGCATGAACAACAGTGTGAATCAAAGGCGGCCTCTGCGCAAAGGAAGGACATAAGCTGGTGCGAGCTCCATGTGGAAGCCGCTGCCAGCTGACTCGTCCCAGGGGCTGCTTCGCTGAGAAGCCACCTTCGCCGCCGCACATGAAGCAGGTGCTCCGCACACGTGGCACTACTTGACACTTGCGAAGGACCTGATCACATGCAGGCCAAGGCAGGTGGGGCGACTGAGGTGTAGCTCCTCCACAGTCGGGGCGTTGACCTAAGGAACCCTAAATAAGGAACGAGGCCCCTTTTTTCATAAGTTAACCTTCGACTTCCCACCAAAAACTTCAGGAAAACATTGAGCAAGGTGTGGAACAATCAAGGAACACCGAGCCCCTCCCCAACGAAAAGGGTACCTTCTTCAACGCCCCGACGGTAGCTCCTCTGTGGGGCCGCGACGCGTGTGAGGGGCGTGACGCCCTGGGCGTGCGGACCCTGCCGCTGGGGCCTTCCGCAGAACTCTTCCTGCGGCCATGGAGCATGCGAAGTGTGCGCCGAGATTGGCATGGGCACGCATGCCATAATGCGGAATGACGACTAATTAAAAAAATGGGAGAGAACGATTAAAACAAATAGTATTCTGCGATTTCTGCACAATTTTCTGACTGGGGGAGAACGATGCTTCAAAACAGAAAAAGAAAGAAGTTTTCCAGCCCGCGGCCGGTTTTTTCTAATCGTCATCCCGGGCGCCGCCGCGTGAACACGACCCCCGGTCATTTATTAATCGTCATTCTCCATTCGAACTCTTTCTGCGGCCATGGAACATGTGAAGTGTGCGCCGAAATTTGCATGGGCACCCACTGGGGCGTTCAATAGAGCTCCTCGTGGGGCCAAGAAGCGTGCGACGCGTGTGCAACACACGGCCGTCGGCACGCATGCGGACCCCACCGCTGGGGCCTTTGGTGGAACCCTTTGCGTGGCTAAGAAGCATGTGAAGGGTGCGCCGAAATTTGCGTGGGCACGCATGCGATACCCGGCCATCGGGACCTTCGATGAAGCTCCTTATGGGGCCACGAGACGTGTGACGGGTGTGCTGAAATAGGCGTCGGTACGCATACGGACCCCGCCACTGGGGCCTTTGGTGGAGCTCAGCGCAAGGTCACGAAGCGCGCGACTGGTGTACTGAGCACAGTGACCCGGGCGTGGGCACGCACGTGGAGCCTGCCACTGGGGCCTTGAGTGGAGCTCCCTATGGGGCCACGAAGCGGATAACGGGTGTGCCGAAGCCGAGACATGCGGAGGGCAGAGGCGGGATGGGAGAGAAAATGAAGGATGGCCGGAGACGCGGGTCGCTGTGGATTCAAAGCTCCAACGTGTTGCGGGTGCGAGCAGGAAATCAAGAAGACAGACAACAGTGGCATTTCATTTGGCACTCCGATGAGAAATGAGCCGCGGCCTGGAAACATAGCCAAGCAATACATACAACTGTTTATGAGACAAAACGCTGCAACGACATCCACGTGGCCAGGGGAACCTTGATGTCATGACCTGTCTGAATCAGCGGTTCTGGTAGAAATGTTCGTCGCATGTATTCACCCCTCCTACTCCCCGTCCCCACTCCTGCCCTCCTCTCTCCTACCGTCCCGTATCCTCTACTGCCTATCGCTTTGCCCTTGGCCGCCTCCTCCCTATATATCCCTGCTCATCTTGCTAATTACCACCGCTGCCATTGCCGAAGCTGCTGCCCCTCCTAGTCACTAGTCCCTCCTCCTCCCCCGCCCCCTCCCCAGGGAGGGGCGGGGGAGGAGGGAAAGGACCACCATGACCAGGGGAGGTGGCGGGGAGCCATGACCATGATCATGAAAGGGCCACCATGGCCATGACCAAGACCACCATGACCATGACCTCTCCCCCTCCCCTTCCTCCCCCCACGCCTCCCGGAAAAGGACCAGCATGGCCCGGGGAGGTGGGGGGCTGAGGACGAGGAGAGCGAGGGCAGGCAGCCTCCCCCTGCCCCTCCCCCCCCCCACTGCATTACCGCCCTCTGGAGCCCCGACGAGCCCCCGAATGAGAACACCACGGATGCCACTCAAAGTCCCCCCTCCTCCTTCTGCCCCCCGTCCTTTCACGTCCTGAAAATGGAGGGGGGAAACAGGGGGGGTGCGAGGAGGCGTGGGGGGAATGCTACGACTTTCTGTCAATGCACTTGCCATGCCCTTGGAACAGCTTACGGCCAGGACGAAGAGGAGGAGGCGGGGAGGAGCAGGAGGAGGAGGAGGAGGAGGAGGCGGGGAGGGGGAGGAGGAGGAGGGAGGAGGAGGAGAGAGGAGGAGGAGGAGGAGGAGGAGGTGGAGGAGGAGAAGGCTGGGAGGAGTCTGTATGGGGAGGAGGAGGATGAGGAAGAGGAAGATGAGGAAGAGGACGACGACGAAGAGGAGGAAGAGGAGGAGGGAGGATGAGGATGAGGGATAATGAATATAAGGGAGGATGAGGAGGATGAGGAGGAGGAGGAGGAGGAGGGGGAGGAGGAGGGCAACTCCTCCCTCTCCTCCGTTTCCTCCTGCTCCTCCTCGTCCAGCCCCTCATCCTACTCCCTTCCCTCCTCCTCTTCCTCTCCTCCTCCTCTTCCTCCTCCTCCTCCTCCTCCTGTATCCTGGCCGCCCTCCGCCACCTGCAGATCCTTCTCTCCTGGCCACCTTCCGCCGCCTTCCAGGCCCTCCCTGGAGCGCCCTTCCCCCCTCCGACCCCAGGCCCCCGCGCTGGCGACCCCCGGAGGCCTCGACCCCGCTGGAGGCCCGCCCGGGGGTCACCACGTGGAACCCTGCAGAGGTCCCGCCCCCTTCCCGGAGACTGGCCTTCCGCGTCGTCTTCGGGAGGCCCCTGGCCATCGCTCGGACGTCCATTCCCTGTCTTTTTTCGGTTTCGTGCGTGGTTGTTTCGCCAAATGATCAAGGATGTTCCTAGATGGTCCTCGCCGAAGGAAAAATACACACGTCCGAGCGATGCCAAGGCCCCAGGGCCCCGTGATGGCCCACGCAAGCTGAAGACGGCCAACAACAACTTCCCGTCGTGAGCTGTGCCACGGCGCGAGGGGGTCTGGGCTCGGGGGTCAAGGCTCGATCCGTGGAGCTGCCCCGGGGTGCGCTCCCCGACCGGAGCTTCGAAGCGGACTCGGCCACGGCGACGAGCGGCCTGCCAGAGGGCCCAGAGGGGCCAAAGACAGCCAAAGGCTTTGAAATTCGAGCCTCGAGCCGCGGGCCTCGGCCGTCGTTGTCGCCTTCGGGGGCCGCCAAGGATTGGCGGAGGGCACGAGAGGGTGGCGCGGCGGGGCCGCCCTCTCCTAAGCAGGCAGGGGGGCTCTTTGGAAGGCAGTGGCCTTCTTAGCAGAGCTCTCCTGGGAAGGCTCGTGCCTTCGAAGGAGCCCCCCCCTGCCTGCTCACACGACGGTCCCCCTCGCGCACCCGCCCGCGGGGCTCCGTCGACCACACGCAAGAGCGACCAGAGGCAAGCGTGAGCTTTGGTGCGCGGCCTGTCGAGCGCGCTGCGTGCGATGTGAGGAGGAGGAGGAGGAGGAGGAGGAGGAGGAGGAGGACGAGGACGAGGACGACGACGACGATCGAGCGCGCTGCGTGCGGTGCGAGAGGAGCGGCCTGCGTGCCTGTGGGCTTGGTTGGCCCCACCCGCCCGCCCACCCGCCCCGCCCGCACAGGCCGAAAGCTGCGCACCACAGAGGCCGCTCCGGCGAGGGGTCGGCTGGCCTCCGGGCCAGCGGGCACGCAGTCCTACGCTCGGAGCTGCGCGGGCCACGGGTGGGCAGAGCAGAGCATCGGAGAACGGAGCAGCAGGAGTAATTAACTGCACAGGGCATTCTTGCAGGGGCCCTGAGACACACAAATAAATACACACAAATAAAAAGGATTCCCCATAGTTTCCAATCTTTTCCAGGTTTTTGTCTTCCCCCCACTTCCCGTATTTTCCCTTATTTTCCTGGGAATCGACGATTAATTGTGTCTGTGTGTGTTTTCCCCCTCCTGAATTTTGCACTGCAGCTGCAGTTGTGCCGTGCCCACAGGATGCCGTCGAGGGGCTTCATCTCGAGTGGCTCGAATCTCTGGCGGTGGTTCGGGAAGATTCGCTCTCGGCGAGGAGCAGCTGCTGGAGCACATCCCGAGGCAGGAAAGCATTGAGGAACAGACGACAGCGTCCATGACCCAATGATGCTCCGATCGGCTTTTTCAGTCCGCAGCCCCCTGCAAAACTCCCGACCCCTTCCCTGGGGCTGGTTTGGCGTCCCGCGTCCGCTCTTGACGGCCCTATAGGTCCCGCAAGCGACCCCCTGGCAGGCCGAAACGAAGGGACGACGCCCGGAGTGAACAGACCACATCGTCGGAGGTCTCTGAAGATTCGGCCGCGCACCAAAGGCCACTCCCGCGGAGGGCCACTCTGACGCGCATGTCTAGACGCCTGGAACCAAGGCAGGGCTAACGGCGATGTTGCTTAACGGATATGTTGGGAACCGTCTTGTAGAAAATCACGAACCTCACATTCCTACGTTTCCAATCTGCGAACGGATCGAGCGAAATCGAGACAGCGAGTTGTAGGAAAGCGCGAGCCACGCGTTCCCACCATACCCAACATCGCCGTTACCTGAATCGCCGTTAGCCCGTCTGCGGTGGAAGGCGTGACGAAACCATGGGCACGATGCCGAACAGCGAGTGTCGTCCAGAGCCAACAGCGGCGCCGCTGATGGGCAGGCGACCTCCTGGCTCAAATGGACAACGCCCGCGGCGGAACCGACAACTAGCCCTACGGTAGAGGGAAACAATTACTGAACACTCCCCCTCCCCCCAAATTCAACGTTGGCACGCGCGGGGGAGACTGCGGTCGAAGTGCATCTCATCAGACTCACCGCCAACTTTGAACATTGGGGGGAGGGGGAGGCGTTGACAGTTGAATGTGGCATGTGTTCGCTAATTTGTTCCGAGGCCTGTATTTCGAAGGGATGAAGGGATTGACATAAACGTTCGGAGCTGCGCGCGGATCTCTGCGATCGGCGCTGCACCCCCCTGGCGGCACCTCGGCCGCCGCCCCTGGCGCGTCCCGCCGCCAGTCTTTCCGTGCTCATGTCGATCGTGACGAACACAGCACAAATATTCCGATACTGCTGCCTGCTACTCTTAGGTCGGGCATGTCCTCCTACAGGCGGACCTTGGAAAAAAAATGAAGCATAAACAAAAAGTCGTCAAACATATGTGTGAACATAGTAAAAGGAAATCGTCCTGGGACCACTAAGAAATAAAATTGGCTACTCCTCCTGTAGAGGGGCATGCCCGATTCAGCGCTACTCCCCAAACCACTCCCGGGGTGCGTTCTGACCAGAATTTCGCGGCGAACCCAGCAGTGGCGACGAAGGAAGGCTTCATAGGAGGCCCCACAAAACCGACAACGAGAGAAGAGTAGCGGTATCGGTAATTACCTTTTCCTGGCGACCCCCCCCCTGGCGGTGCCTCCGGCGACGCACCTGGCGCGCCACGCGCGCCGGGGAAAGGGTCCCAGGACCGATCCAAGAAATCAGCGAGGAACTTCGAACATGTATGTTTATATATATATATATATATGTTTCTTCTTCGACCCGGCGGGCAGCGACTGCAGTCATTTTCGTGCCCATTTCGGTCGGTCCAGCGCAGATCCAAGATTTCCGCGCAGAGCTCTGAAAGTTTATGTTCATGCAGTTTTCTCTCCTTCGATCACTCCTTCCTGCACCCATCATCCAAGCCCTGTGGGCCCCATCTTCCTGCCGCATTTTTCGAGCCTGACTGATGTGATGACGATCCCACGGCCCGAAGTGAGGAGGAGGAGGAGGAGGAGGAGGAGGAGGAGGGCAAAAACGCCAGGCGAGAAACAATGGCAACGCCTGGGTCTCAAGGGGCCCCTCTGCCTTCCCCCCTTAGCCGCGCCGCCGAGCCACAGCCTGCGACTGGCGGGGATCGAGGACTGGGGCAAAACTGGCACCTCGCGCCGCTCACCTCGCTGCCTGCAGGGCTCCAGCCAGCCCCCATCGCCCTCCCGCATCCCTATAGGGAACGAAAAATTACATAAACATAAAAACTCGGAGACCCGCGCGGATTTCTCGGATCGGCGCTGGGCCCCCCCGGCGGCGCCTCCGGCGCCGCCCCTGGCGCGCTCCGCGCGCCAGGGAGGGGGGTCCAACGCGGATCCGAGAAATCCGCGCGGACCTCCGAGTTTTTATGTTTGTGTCATTTTTTGTTCCCCTAATCCCTGCCCCTCTCTCCTCTCCCCGCTCAGGGGGCAACTGCTCGGAGGCCTTCGGCCTTGGCAATACCGCATCAAGGCTACCTGTGAAGCCCGGTTCGGAGGGCAAGGTAGCCCCGTCCCATACATGCGATGTCCTCTTTTTGCTTGGTACGGGGCCCTGGAAGTCCCGGTCCTTTCCCCCAAACCGGGCTTTTCATCCCGAATCGTTTTTTTACAATGCCGGGGCCTGGTGAGGGCCCCCGGAGGCCGAACTTGGCGAAACTCCTCCGAGCACGTCTGGGCACGGTCGGACCTGCAGGGCACAAGGACACTCTCCGCAAGAGCATGGGACCCTCCGCTCGCCAAGGCACACAGCAGAGACCACCCAGGGGGACCACAAAGAGCATCCAACAAGCACGCACAACGCTCGGGTGACCCTCCCCGAGCCGACCTCGATCTTAGACTTCGGGCCGACCGCATCCGTTCGTCGGGGGCGGCCAAGAAGGGGGTGTCCAAGAGGGGGCGGCGCAAATCATGGCCGGCGGCATGTGCGCGGCCCAGGGAGGGGGCCAGGGACGTAATGAAGCCAGAGGAGGCGCCATGAGATTTGGGGAGAGATCATGGCCCGCGCCACGATATCAACCCCTGGCTATTGAGCAGGGACCGACCGTCCAGGCATTCCTATTGTCCTACCAGGAAATGTTCTTAGAACCCCAAAATGTTCGAAGAACAAAAACAATGTTCTCAGAACATAAGCCCGATGTGTTAAAGCAAGACAGCCCCAGCCAGAAATGCTCTAAGATTATTTCGTGCAGACCACAAAAGGTTCTTAGAAGTTAGAACATTGTTTGGTGGGGCTATAGGCGAGCGAGGACGCTTCGCCACTGCTCGACCCTAGTCATCACCCCCCTCTTTGCCGCCCCCGAGAGCTCAGCCCTCGGGCCGACCGAACCCGTTCGGGCCCTCTGCCGAGCAGTGGCCGACCGGCTGGGGCGGAGAGCTCGCCGGCGGCCCCATTTGGGGGCGGGCGAGCGCCCGCCTGCGGCGCGCCAGGGGCGCCCCGGCGCGGCGGCGAGGTGCCGGCGCAGCGGCCGGAGCATCGGCGCGCGCATCACGGGGGCAGTGCAGCGGGGGTTGGCGGCGCGCAGAAGGGGGTGGAGGGAGGGGGGAAGGCTTCTTAGAAGGAGGCTGCTTCTTAGAAGGCGCTGGCCTCACATCTGTAGATGAGGCCCGCGCCTTCTAAGAAGCAGGGGTGCTTCTAAGAAGCCCTCCCCCCTCCCCCCACCCCCCTCTGCGCGTGGCTGAGGGGGTCACCACTTGGCTCTTTTAAGTCGGGCGTGTCGTCCCTCTGCGGGGGGAGTGTTCAAGAGCAGTCCGGAAATAGTCCGGGGCGACTCTTTTGGGGTCTATTTTTCTGAAGATTCGGGGGGCATTCTTGGAGCATCTTTTACTGTTCGTCCAGAACCCCCCTGTAGAGGGACACGCCCGACTTAACACTTGGCGGGTTCCCAGGAGCCTGAACCCCCCAACAGAAACTGTCCCAGAGATCCGCTGCCCCGACAAAATCTGGAGCGGCCGGTCTGAGGCTATTTAAAACATGGCTGGGATCGGGATCAATCGCTCCAGAGCGCTCCGCAGCGCTCTCAGAGCGTTCCGGAACGCTCTGGAGCGGGGAACGCTCTGGAGCGGCCGCGGCGCCCAATACGTCCTCCAAACCCGCCACTTCTCAGAGACTTCGAGTTTAGTAGTGGTAGTAGTAGTAGTAGTAGTAGTAGTAGTAGTAGTAGTAGTAGTAGTAGTAGTAGTAGTAGTAGTAGTAGTAGTAGTAGTAGTAGTAGTAGTAGTAGTAGTAGTAGTAGTAGTAGTAGTAGTAGTAGTAGTAGTAGTAGTAGTAGTAGTAGTAGTAGTAGTAGTAGTAGTAGTAGTAGTAATAGTAGTATAGTAGTAGTAGTAGTAGTAGTAGTAGTAGTAGTAGTAGTAGTAGTAGTAGTAGTAGTAGTAGTAGTAGTAGTAGTAGTAGTAGTAGTAGTCGTAGTATCCGTAAGGTAAGTAGTAGGTAGTAGTAGTAGTAGTAGTAGTAGTAGTAGTAGGTAGTAGTAGTAGTAGTGGTAGTAGTAGTAGTAGTAGTAGTAGTGGTATAGTAGGTAGTAGTAGTAGTAGTAGTAGTAGTAGTAGTAGTAGTAGTAGTAGTAGTAGTAGTAGTAGTTAGTAGTAGTAGTAGTAGTAGTAGTAGTAGTAGTTAGTAGTAGTTAGTAGTAGTCGTAGTCGTAGTAGTAGTCGTAGTAGTAGTAGTAGTAGTAGTTAGTAGTAGTAGAGTAAGTAGTAGTAGTAGTAGTAGTAGTAGTAGTAGAGTAGTAGTAGTGATAGTAGTAGCAGTAGTAGTAGTAGTAGTAGTAGTAGTAGTAGTAGTAGTAGTAGTAGTCGTATCCCGATCCGATTTTGCCCTGATCTTCACTATATTTCCGCCCTCCCATGGGGCCCTCCGCGGGCCCCCGGGCCGCAGCCAAAGCGTCTCCGGGGGAGGAAGGACCGGCCCGAGGGAAGTTCTCAAGCCCTCCTGGGGCCCACGCGTCGAAGAAGTTGGAGCGCCCGATGCGTCTGGGTTGGACACGGGCGTGCTTCCATGTGGACGCTGGCAACTGTAC